AACACCTGCTGAGCAGATTGGAGTATCCTGGTGCCGGACATCTGATTGAACCGCCCTTCTCACCTCATTTCAGGGTGACTAACTTTATGACCAGCGAGAGAGGGAAAGGTGAGTTGTGGCAGAGACACCACAGTGATCACTTGTGAAGTGACAGTCAAGCTAGCAAAGTCACCAACGACATGGTAAGCTCACAGATCTAGTCTCCATGAGGAGCTGGTTCCAGCAGTGGGCAGCTAAAGGCCATTTCCCCATGTTTGGTCCAAACTGGAGACTTCCAAATGGTAGTCCACAACCAGACGGGTGACACCAGGGTCGCTACGACCATCTTTCTAAACAGTCCACAGTCTTCTGACATGTTTGGTTGTGTCCCCAATCAGAACAGTACCAGTCTTATCAGGTCAACAATGTTTCTTCTGCCCATCAGCTCAGCAGTGGTTTCAGTCTGACTCATATGAAGGGAAATCCATCATGTGCTCCACATATTTAAATGTGGTACCAATAGCACCACCATGTGGCCAGCTACAGAGCATCATGTGTTTTATTAATTCGTAACTCTTGATTTGTGAGATGCAGACATAAAATGTTTGTTAAACACCAGAGTTGAAGGACTCGGCAGTAAAGAGTCACTTGTGTAACTGCTAATCCTCCCTCAAATATCACCGTGTGTGTTGCAGTGGTGATGCTGTGGGGAGGTCACACCAAACCTCATGCGGACGCTCAGGAGGACTCCTGGAGGAAGATCTTGAGCTTTCTGCAGCAGCATCTGTACTGCCGCCACAAGGCCAAGCTGTGAACGATCACATGACCACAGACCGCCGCTGTTAAACATGAAACACATGCTTCGATTGTCATTATCAATTTATTGTTTTGGTTGGGTGAGCATAGATTCTTCGTTTTCAGCCTGAAGTCCACAATGAGTTTGCCACAAATCTAACATGTGGGAAAATGTGACATTGCCATTGTTTGCTTCAACTTCAAGTCTTTGTAATTGCAGTACTGCTTGTGTTTGGTCAACATTTTATAACAAAGTGTAATGTGATAAATTTCTGAGCATAAACTCACCAATTTACTATGTAAACCTGAGTATTCCCTGAGATTATAAAATCAGATATTTAAAAAAACAACAACAAAAAAATCAATCCTCAGTTTTAAATCAAACCTTGCAAAGTAAACCAATGTGGCTGTGATTGATTCTCACAAATTGCTGACGTTCACTTTAAAATCAATGTAATTTTTTTCCAGCAGTAATGACCAGTGTTGTGCTCTCTTTTGTTTTTTATGAACTCCAATTGTTTTTTCTCATAAATATACCACTTACATCTTGGAGAGTATCTGAGTTTTTTTCTCGTAAATTTGTGACTTTAATCTCGTAAATTCTGAAGAAAACTCACAAATTCATAAGAAAAACCTTAAATATTGTCTCTGAAAATAATGTCAATCATTTGTGAGAAAAATTCAAGTGTCTGCATCTGTGGTTTGATGAGGTTGATTCATCTTTTAAAGTTTTTCTACATAGAATTGTGGGGTTTCAATTTTTCACAGACTTTTCAAAGATTTTTTGTTTTTAAACCTTTGATGACAGCAATATAATGTTTTGTCAAACAGATGTTTAATAATTCATAAACAATTACAGAAGAATATGTGGACCATCTGGACAAACTTAGCTTCAGTAGCTAGCTAGCGTACATTAGCCTGATAGCAAAGCCAAGCCAACATACGGTTATTTAAACAGAAAGAGGTCATGAACATCATTAATTGGCATTTACGCACCATGTTGTTAAAATTATTAGTGATTATTATTTTATACAAAAAGTTTTTGCTCTAAAAATGTCATTCTCAGCTTGTTAGCTTCATTCGTTAGCAACATGGATCCAGGTCTATTTGATTTACTTTCAAAATTAAGATATGAGCCGTGATTCAGAGCTAATGGTGCTGGTGGGTTTATTGATCAGTATTGATTCAAACTACTAAGAAATGTTAAGCTGTACTGATCTGTTGTGCCTAGGATGGATGACATTAGCTTTATATGATAATTGACCATGAATCTGCTTTAGCACGATGACTGTGATCAAGGATTGTGTTATGTGAAATAAAAATATTCTGGCTAGCATTGGGTGTCTGCTCAGAATTTGTAAACCTTATCATGTCATCATATTTGTTGTGATTTAAACTAAAACTATGATAATTACCATCTTAAGACTCACATTAGCCATTTAGCGAGCTAATTTCCATCAGTTCTCAGTTAAAACAAATGTCTCTCATACAACTTCCATTTATTTATGGTGCACATCACCTGAAGAGTCTTTGCACACATTTTACAGGTTAAAATATCAGGCATACAAGTAATCTGAACCTAGAGCAGTCTATCTACAGTACAGTAGTCTGAAACCTGTGAGGATTGTAGCAGGAACTGGTGATGTGATGTTCTGCTGGTTTCTAACGGGGGACAGACTTGCAGCACAGTCTTTGTAATATCTCTCCCGGTGACCTCCACTAACAGAAAGCTCCATCCCTACGCCTTTTCCCCCGGCAACTATCCCCCATCAAATGCAACTATGACATTAGAAATGATGAACTCCTCGCTGTCAGACTGGCCTTGGAGGAATGGAGACATTGGCTGGAGGGTGCAGAACAGCCCTTCATTGTTTGGACTGATCACAAAAACGTGGAGTATATTCATTAAGCTAAAAGGTTGAACTCCCATCAGGCATGTTGGACCCTCTTCTTCAACAGATTCCAGTACTCCCTTACATATCGCCTTGGAATGCCACGTAAAGCCCAGCGCTTTGCCATGCCAGTTTTCAGTGGAGGAGACCTCTGGGGAACCTGAGGCCATTCTCCCATAGACCTGCCTTGTAGCTTCTCTTGTTTGGAAGGTGGAGACAGCGATGCGGCAGGCACAAGCACAATAGCTTGAGACAGGTAACGGACCTCCGTCAAGTCTCCCGAACCCTGGAGATCCGAAAGAGGAGGTTTTGGTGGCCCTCCATGGATCAGGATACCAGAGACTTTGTGGCCGCCTGTCCCACCTGCGCCCACAATCAGACGCCCAATCGACCTAGTTCTGGCCTCCTGCATCCCCTGCCGATTCCCCCGATGTCCATGGTCTCACATAGCGGTGGACTTCGTCTCCGGTTTCCGTCCCTCCAATAGTAACACCACCATACTCACTGTTGTGGACCGTTTTTCTAAGGTTGCGCATTTCATTGCACTTCCGAAGCTGCCCTCTGCTCGAGAAACTGCTGATCACCTTGTCTCCAAAATGTTCTGGCTGCATGGGATTCCGGTGGATTTTGTGTCCGATCGGGGTCCTCAGTTTATCTCTGAGTTTTGGAAAGCCTTCTGTTCGGTCCTCGGGGCCTCTGCTAGTCTAACCTCTGGGTTTCATCTACAGACAAACAGCTAAATGGAGTGGACCAATCAAGCCTTGGAGACATTCCTGTACTGTGTGGCAACAGAGAATCTCTCCCCCTGGAGTACGCAGCTTCCCTGGGTCGAGTACGCCCACAAGTCCCTCTCCAACGCCTCCTCAGGACTGTCCCTCTTCAAGTGCTCCCTGGGATACCAACCACCCCTCTTCCCTCCCCTGGAGCAGGACATCGCAGTGCTCTCTGTTCAGCTCTCTTCTCTGCTCTTCACAAAAGATGGATGCACTCTGGTTCCAGCCTACGAACCCAGTCGGAAGGTTTGGTTACGGGCTAAAGACCTCCCATTGAGGGTAAAGTCCAGGAAGTTGGCTCCTCGATTCATTGGACCTTTTGAAATTGATGGGGTCATAAACTCGAGCGCCATCCGCCTGAAGCTTCTGTCCTCCATGAGGATTCATCCTACATTCCATATGTCCCAAGTGAAACCTGTGAAGGAGAGTATTCTGGCGGGGTATTCTGGGAGAGGCCTCCAAGTTCTGGTGGATTGGGCCCCTCTCATTGGACCTGAGGAACGGAGCTGGATTCCTTAGCGTCAAATCCTAGATTTACCACCCAGTCCCTCAATTCCAGACCCAGCACCATTCATAGCACCATTCCACCTCAGAACCCTGGATTTGGGAATTCAGCCAGCTCGACTCCATTGCTGCATCTGCCTCTGCTACCACTCCGTGGCTCCACACATCCACTCTGTCCACCTTACCCTCCTCACTTTGGACTCTCAGCTAGGTTCTCCTCATCTCTGTCGGGTCCTGGTTTGCTAACGTGTGTTATCTAGGTCTGGTTTTTGTATAGTCCCCCTAGCTCAGTCCTGCTTCATGAATGTATGATCTCATTCCTGACTGCATTAACACTCAGTCTGGGTTTATGTCACACTAAGGTTACTGTAGTAAGTATCAACTTTGTGTATTTTCCTCGTAGTGTTTTCTGTAGTGTAACCGCCAGTTTTTTGGAAGTTTCCGCTTTTCTGTTAATCGTCTTTTGTTTTGCTTCCTGCTTGACCTTCAACCCCTTATTGTTTCCTGTAAACTATATTTTTGTAATAAACCTTTTTATTGTGAAACGCTTTGATTTCTCGAGACATTTGTCTGTACCTGAGTCTCTGAGCCAGATCTGTGACAACAATGAAGGTTCTAAACTGGTCTCCCCAAAGTCCTGACTTAAACCATCAAGAACCTGTGGACTGATGAAAAACAAATCAGAAAGACAACAAACTGAGTTGAACTGCACTGATTCTGTCCAGAGAAGTCAAAGATAAACCAGAAGCTGGTGCAGGGAAACCAAAACAACAAACTGAGGTAAAAATTAAACAAACAGTAGCACTACTGTGTGTATATTTGTGATCCAGCAGATTTTGTCATATTTCCAGAAGACTTTTAATAAATCTGTGAAAGAATTAAAATGCATGATTGTCTTTTGTGACAAAGATTCATGTTTCAATGATTCCATCATAGAAAATTCAGAGTTATTGGAGTCACTGGAAACTCAAGACTGCCATAATAAATATTAACTTTCCAAGTGGAAGTAAACTTTTGCTTCACTCACACAGAACGCATGTAAATCAACGTTGACAGTCTCAGGAAGGTAAACTGAGTTTCTGATGGATTCCGGGGCAACAGGATCTGTTATGGTGCAAAAAAGTTAAAGGATAAACCCAAACTGTGGGGCAGATACATGAAAATGAGTGAGTTAGTATTCAGATCTGGTCTTATGTGGTCTAAGGGCAGGGGAAAAAAAATCACCCTTTTCTCTGTTTTTGCACACAATATAAAGGTTTCATTAATGTGAAACTGCAGTTTAAAAAGTCTCCTCAGTTGACCTGATCTAACACGGTCACGGTCACGGTCACCTTTCCTTCTGTTTTCTCACATTGCAGAACAGTTTAATCTAAAACTATGTGTGAAACAGTAGCTGGAATCATCTTGTCTTGGTTTGACAGGTTGAAGTTCAGTAGTTTTTATTTAGATCTGGTCTTATGAGGTCCAAATACCAGACCAAAGCAAACATTAAATCATCATTTTCTCTGTTTCTGCACACAATAGAAAGGTTCATGTATAATTATTTGTGAAACTGTGTTTCACTTGCTTACTGGACCAGACTAAAAACAACAGACTTCATTATAAATGTAACCTGATGTCGTCACATTCACCCTGAACTCTGTTTCCTCTCTGCAGAACGCTCAACTATGAAGCAAGCTTAGTGGGCCGTCGAGGTTTGTTGACCCTGAACTCAGAGTTTTCAGTGTCACGAAGGTGGCTCTCTTTGTTTAGATCTCCATGGTAACTGATGCTGTGGATCTAACCTGGTCCAGGTTCTGATCAGAGTTCCGGATTTAAATCGGCTGGAAGAAGCGCCTCCCTTTAACCAAACGGTTTCCTGATGATTCTCTATGAGCGACACAGATGCTCGGCTGAGGGAAAACGTTTTATCTGCAGAACTCTGATCACCATCCCTGAATGAAGCAGTTACTGCATCACACACTGCATGCATCGCGTTGCCATGGAAACCTGCATGTGTTCAGCTGCTGATGCAGAAATCACATAAATACGTTTTCATGTTTGGCTCTGATTTGCTGTCAGGTCTGTTCACACTGTTGCTCCTGCAGCTGGTTATAAAACGGATGATTTTACTGGTATTAATCAGAGAGAATAGTCAATCAATAACACTGATTTCACTTTGATTGGGCCAAAAATTAAAGTGATTTCCTGCATTATGGGACAGTGTCAGACCTAAATGCACTTCAGTACAAGATCATGTTCAAATATATGAAGTTTACAGTTTAACAGCTTTATTGTGCAGCTGATTATTGATCACTGATCAATAATAAGCTGTATTGATCAGTCAAATAAATACATTAACAGCATTCCTGTCCTGCATCATTTGCAGCAGCAGCTTTTTATTTTTACCGTCATAATGTTTTTATTCATCTTTGTTCTCCATTAAAGCAACCTGTAGACTGAAGCAGCTGCACGTGAACCTTTTATTTACGAAACGCCTCCTTCTATATGACCGCGCGACAAAATTGAAGCACCTTCCGACACCGGACACCTGGACGGACACCCACGGAGGGGCCGGATATGTTGCGCTTGCTCCGTACTTCAGCCCTCAGGTCACCTGATCTGCTCTCACCTGGACGCCGCCTCTTCACCTGCGCGTGGCTCCGCTGCACACCTCAGCGCGCGCAGCCTCTCGTGAGGGCGCCCGGTTCCTGGAGGAGCAGAACCGACCGGTACCGCCAACAGTCCCGGTAAGAAGCTGGTAGCTGAGCCGGGTGAAGGCCTAAAGTCGGGCTGGACTCGGTGCTGTGTGTCTGTTTGTGTGTCTGTTTGTGTGTCTGTTTGTGTGTTGAGTTTTCACCTGTGCAGGTATCAGCTGCAGGTGTCCTTCAGAAAGAGCCTCAGAGCTGCAGATGGAAGCAGATGCATGAAGCGGTTCTGTGGTTGGAAGCGTTTCAAATCCATCATCCTGGTTCAGGTTCTGGTTTAATGTGGTCTGGATTCAGGAGAAGCTGTGAACGCTTGATTTTCTGTTTTTAGACTTTAATTCATCTGAAGCTGTTTTAAACTGTCTCTGGAGTGAACCTGCTAACTTCATCCACATCTAGAGGCTTTTAATGTGGTGGGTTTTGACCTGGAGGAAAGTTTAAAATAATAATAATAATAATAATTTGTCCAGCTCCTACGGCCACATTAAGATCATATTTTTCCACAGACTTTGAGAATAAAGTCGTAACATTTAAACCAGTTGTTTTAGAAGAGGGACGTTGTTAAAATGAGGGCCGTGGAGCATTTCATGAAGTTGTACTTCATCATCGGTTTCACCAACCAGGAGATCTTTTGGCGCATCAGCACCACATTATCATTAGTATCAGGACTTTGAAAACAATCTGCAAATGTTACGACTTTATTCTCGTGAAATTCTGACTTTTTTTTCAGATTTAACTGCTTCAAGTGTGTTTTTTTTTTTTTTAAGACCTGGTTTAATGTGTGCAGAAGAAAACAAACTGTGGAATCATCCCCTCTTTCATGACTAGAATAAGGGTTCATAGATCTGAAACGTACTCATAAAGTGTCTTGGGAATCTACCAGAGCCAGAAACGTTCCAGTGGTTCTTGAACGACTCACCTGTGATGCTGTTCAGTTGAAAACTTAACCTGATTTAAGTGTAGAAGCCTGATACTTCATTCAAACCATTTTATTACGGTTCTCCTCCAAGACTTTGGCAAAAAGAAACTGTTCTGTCAAACATTTTGTGAAAAAAAACAAAAATCTGTGTTCTTTGGCACAGCCGTGAAACCATTTGTAAATGTTTGGAGGTTGTTCTGTCAGTGAGTCACTGATGCAGCCCGTCGTGTTTTTATTTCTCCACAGATTTTTATCAGTCATGCCTCAGACTCCGATTCTCTCCGTCCTCCCCACTCGGAGTCTGGTCGACGAGAAGTTCAAGGTTTTGGTGGAGAATCTGCCTCCAGGAAGTCCGGTAACCGTTCGCTCCCTCCACCACTCTGAGGACAACCACGACTGGGAGGCCTTCGGGTTCTACGTCAGCGACCATGGAGGAACCGTCAACGGTGGGGTTTGGTCCTCTTTCACGAAACTGAGAAACAAGTGTTTGGGTGTTTTAACATTTGGCTTTTTGACCCTTGAATGCATCATTCAAAGATCCAAGCCAAGGCTAAAGTGTCTCCACTGTTTGGTATTTAGCAGCTAAAAAGTCCAACATTATCCTCAGGAGGTGGTGGAGACCCAATATGGAGTTAAAAGAGAGAAAATCTTGGATTGCTACGTAACGTGCAACCATTTTGCAGCAAAATAAGACTAATTAAGCTTATAAGTAGTTCTTTGTGGGCATTTTAATATGTCTACAATAACAGTTTCTACAATTTCATTTTGCAGATGCTTTTATCCAAAGCGATGTACATCTGAGAGTAGATACAATACAAGCAAGGATCTAGTCAGGAGAGAACAGCCTGGATAAGTGCCATAGAACCAGATCAGGTGTGCTTGGATGTTAATGCCAGTAGCAGGCCGTGTGGGAGGTAATAGGAAGTTTTAGAGCAGTTTTTAAACTGGAGGAGAATAATGTTCGTAGACCTTGATAGTCACTGAGGTCAGTGGGCTCTCTGGATGCAGCTGCTAAAAAGTCCGATGTTTCCCATTATTAGCTGGTGGAGACCAAAAACGGAGCTAAAAGAAAAAATATTGGACTGCTATTCATAACGTAGATTGGTTGGAACAACGCTAATTCTCTGAATGTAGTGCAGACAAAGTAAAGAATCTGAACATGTTCCAAAGTAAATATAAACACATTGGAAGCATCAACGTGAATGACTTTTGCCTCTTTGTCGTTCTGTCCTTGAATTCGACTGTGATGCTTTCTGTCTATCTTTGACTTTGCTGCTAAGTTGCTTGATGGATTTTGTGTTTCCTCGTTGCTCTTGCAGTGTCAGAAGATATGAGTTTTGGAGGCACATACACTGGACAAGAGCCCATGGGTTTGCTGTGGAGTATGTGCCCTGTCCCAGGCAGCCGCGAAGGCCTCAGGTAATACGTCTTTAGTCTTTTACTCCAGCTCAGCATGGCCACCCTGAAATACATCAACATCTAAGTCCAACATCTGAAAAAGGCAAAGATACTGAGTGGCTCAATTAAATCTGAACACAAAGACATTGAATGCACATTCCCAAGGATGTCATTATCTCTGATGTACATTCAGAGCAAACTGCCATAAAGTATCTGCTGGTAGCTAATTGAGTTGCTTTTAATGGCAGAAGTTTAACGACTGTTTCTGGCATTATTGCTGCTGTTAAATGGTCTGCTCTTGGTTGTCCTGGTCAGGTTAAGGAAGAAGAACGTGAGCAGCCCCATGCTGGTCAACATCTCGATCCACAGTGGACACGAGGGCTTCAGGGATCGAGCTCCTCTGGCCTCGGTGCTCGTAGAGAGATGGTACATGGCTCCAGGTGTCCAGAGGATCGATATCAGAGAGAAGGAAGTGCGAGGGACTCTGTTTATACCTCCAGGTACTGTTTTTAGCACTAGGGATCATCTGGTTAGGGTTTGTCAATGTCAATTATGTGATAGCAGGGGACTTTTAATTCCTAATCAGATTGCTTCATTAATAATTATTATAACATTATATGTGCAACATAAAATAGACCGATGTCAAAGTATCACGTGACACTCCAATGCTCTCCTGTTTACTCCTAGAGTGATTGGTTGAGGTTGATCTATTCTGTTAATTTTTCACTATTCTGTCACTTTACTTGTCCACTCAGGCCTCTATCTTCAAGCATTGTTAATTACTGTCTTTCAGACACTGTTGTAGGGTAATCTGTGACTATCTCCTAACTTAGCCGCTAGCTGTTAGCCTAAGCTTCTCGGAAAGTAGCTAATGTCCTGATTTGTGGAGGTGGTTGTGCTTCTTGTTCAGTTTTTCCAGGCTGTGTCTGCTAGAGAGCAAAGTGCAGCGCCGCTCAAAGTTCCTATTTGTTAACCCCTGAGCACTAGGACGTCTGACTTCAATGGCATGGTGTTCAACATGGAGAAAAAGCTGGTGTTGTGTGGCTGAATTGGTCTTTGGTCTATATTCCCGAAATCATATGACACAACTTTTCGGTCGTATTGAGACCCGGGGAAAAACGTTTTCGTAGAAGCAAGGACAGTCCATCCTTGAGGGGATGGTGATGTAACTCTTGAAAACTTCAACTATTTTACTTGCTGAACTGCGACTCCCCAGGAGCTGTGTGCTGAAACCCATGATGAGCGCAGCACATATTGCGTCCTGTGTGAAGGCGCTTCAGAGGCCCAAGTCACTTAGCAATAGCCTTGGCCTAGTACTGTCGGCCAAATAAGTTCTGCCTGCACTGATACCAAGAAGGGAATTATTGGGGTGTCTTCTGTAACACGGAAACTAACCGTGCTAACTTAGCTTCCAAACAAACAGAGCTCCGCTAATTCACTGGAGCTGTTCTGCTCTATACAGCAAGAAGGTCGCCGGTTCGCATCCCACAGAGGGCAGCGGGATCTTTCTGCGTGGAGTCTCCATGTTCTCCCCGTGCAGCGTGGGTTCTCTCCGGGTTCTCCGGCTTCCTCCCACAGTCCAGAAACATGCTGAGGTTAATTGGTGATTGTAAATTGTCCGTAGGTGTGAATGTGAGTGTGCTTGGTGGTCTGTCTCTAAGTGTAGCCCTGTGATAGACTGGTTGCCTGTCCAGGTGAACCTGCCTTCACCGT